AACGCAAGCCAAGCTTTATCATTACTACCATAACTGTGGACAACTAAATAAGATTTTTAATTTAGTTTAAATCATTTTTTCCAACTGTAATAACCTATAGAATAATTAAAATAACCGATGTGTCACTAATACTACAAATTGCAAGTCAACTGCTTTAGAATTTTCGTAAAAAAGCCAACAGCCCAAATGTAAATGTCGATTTCTTTTCAATTTAAATGTAAAATTGCTAACATAACACTGACAATAATTTCTGTGACCATTATACATTTTTTATACTTTAAACTTAACAAATCTTACGGACTGTATTAATCTCCTTTTTAATAAAAATATAACATTTTTAAGACATAAGCAGCCTTTGTATTATCAGGTTTAAGAATCTTTATTTACCTTAATAAAAATTTACAATTTACTTACTTAAGGTAATAACTTATGCTAAATATAATATTTTAATCAAGCGTACTGACAATTTAGTATGCTTTTACTAAATGCGGGTAGCTACGAAACATTATGTGTACAAACTAATACTATTATTACATTGCATCGATATATGGTATACTGGATGTGGCATGGAATACGTTCATTAAATAATATTATTCTAGACTATAATCATTTTATTAATATTTTGGGAGCTACACTAGCAGCTAGTTGGCTGATGCGTGTGTGTTGTATAGCTCGGAGGTTTTAACTTTATCTAATCTATTTTTAAAAACGTTAACTGTTGGAGCCGCCACTACACTATCCAGAAGCCTGTTCCATCCACTATCTTCAACGTTTACGCCGAATTTCTTCGAAATCCGTTCAGCAGTTTAGACGCATCGCATTTACTACATTAGTAAGATTAGTTGAGTTTGATATTCCATATTTTTTATGTATTTCTAAAGTTTAAACGCAAGTTGTTTGGAAAATGATTTAATCATAGATTAAATGTGAAATAACAATTCTTAACCTAAATGTAAGACAGGTACAACAAAGTTCCTGAAAGCTTTAACCGCTGGAGGCAATTTCGCGTACCGCCTAAGACGAGCACTTGAGCACCATGTACTCGACTCCCATATTAACTTATAACATACGATAAATACAGCTATAATAACTTATTAAAATGCAAATTACAACCTGCGGGTAATTTGATTCTTACATGTACGTTACGTGTAAGCTGTATATAAAATTTATGTAATGAAGTTTGAAATTTAAATGTTCTGTGATAAAATGAATAAAATCTTCTAATTGATTTATACAAGAACTAACTTACACTCACCACAACATCCGCATGGGTTTAAAAAAAAACAAAGTAGGTAGCCTATGTGTTTTTCCAGACTATGCTCTAACGATCCATTCAGCAGTTAAGGCTACAAATTGTAACATCCATTCATCTAAACTTTTGCTTCTATTAGTAAGATTATAGTAAAATTGACATTGTCATAAGCTTCTAATTCATCACTGACCGTTATTAAAAACTAGAAAATTACCAATATAAATGATACAGTATTCAAACGAATGTTTTAAATACGAAAATTCAGGTAAAATTTAAAATATGAAATTTTGAAACCATCCCTTTAACCCTTAATATTTTTTTTTCGAATATTAAAAAAATATTCATAGCACTTAACCTTGATGACCCAAGGTGTTTAGAAAAAATAATAAAAAAAAATTATGTAATCTCAACACACACGATACACTAACAAGAAAAGGGTTAACATTACCTTTTTTTATATTATTTGTAACGTTACAATATTAAATCTCTTAAAAGATTTACTACCTTTTCAAAATCTAATCGACTTAGTTGAAAAGTTACTCTAACTTTAAACAAGAAACTTACTCGTCGCTTTCTAATTTAGATCTCTATTGTATTAAACTTGAATCTGATTCAACTATGTAAGTGGTATGAAATCTTGGTCTATATGTATTGAATATTTATCACGACCAAGCATGTGAAAAGGGCGGGAATGTGGGTCAACATTTACTAAGTAATACATTATACCCTTAAATATTTCACGTTGGAGTGTCGAAAATGTCAGGTCTAATCACGGATATCATAAACTTCTACATCGTAAAGAAGGATTTTTTAAATCATAACATAAGGAATAGCTTCCATACATTGTATGTAAACATTGCTTAATTAAATATTTAAAAAAAAATTACGGCATGTAAATACACTTACGAGTTATCTATGAATTTTTTTGTAAATACGTCTTAAATAGAAAAAAAAATATTCATTGCAAATAGATCATATCTTACAGCCTCAATAGTCTGATTAATAAAACAGACGAAACACGGTCTTGAATTCTATTACCATTCAGTTATTGTCTTAAACCATGTATTGTCGTTAGTGGAAGGCCAGAGCTTAGTACAATTGTTGATAAGTTGTACAAGTCGACATTTAAAAATTGTATTTGATTCAAATGACAGTGGTAGTGCCCGCTTTAACATCTTAGCACGAATTGGCCGGCACGCCCGATGTAATACCACGACCACACAGAAGACAGGCGTGAAATGGAAGCAATTCCGTGTTTCGTCTGATGAGTGTGGTGCCGGAGGCCTAATTTAACTCCTTTTCTCTTTACCACCCTTTTCGCATAAGGAGAGGATGGGAAGGGGAAGTGGATTTGACGGAGGAGGAGAATAATAGGAAGGGGAGATATTCTCTTCATGTGCGTCTCCTCCTCTGTCGGATAAGGTTAGGCAACGCATCTGCAATTGCGGATGTCCATGGGCAGCATGTTGCCATTTTGGCGGATTCAGGTGGCCGCTTGCTCATTTGCCACCTTATGTTATAAAAAAAAATATTAAGGCGGATTACTAACTAATGAAGATACTTTTGCGCCCCTATTTTAATATCTTCAGCTATATGTCACCATGTCTATACAGTATGTTCTTAGTGATAATGGCAGCGCCATCTGTCGCTCTCCCTTCGTAAAAAATAATGGTGTCTAGCTAATAGGCGTGACAATTCATCCCTTAAATGGCTTTGGTAAGTCATATTATTATAGGAAGTAAAGAAAATATTTTATGAAAAAAAATAGCTTTGGGATAGGAAATTGAAAATCACACTTATTCGTGTTTATTGTCTACAGTTTTTTTAGGCAAGAATTTTATACAAAGACGGTTAATGGTCCGTCTTTGTAGGTTTGTATGAGAAATACACACTAAGGGACTTGTAAAGTAATAATTAAACAGCATTATGATAAGTGTAAGCTATGAAATATCTTTAGTTTGCTACTACATCTAAATAGAACATAAACAGCTGTTTGGTAAATTTCTAGTTCGTGGGAAGGCAATTAAACCAATATCTTGTATCGAGTTTAACTTTAGAAGACGTTTGAAAGGCAGCCTGTTTTACTTTTTGTTTTACTTTAGGTTAAGTAACTACAGCAAAAAATATCTAATACTAGCTGTTGCTTGCGACTTCGCCCGCGTGAAATTAAAAAATGTAGCCTATGTTATTCATAGATAAATTACCTTTCTAACGGTGAAAGTTTTTGAGTCATTTCAATTCATCCAAAATTACAAATCTATCCTCTTTATAATATTAGTATAGACTACACAATAAGAAACATAATATTAGGGCTTTGAGCGCAATTTCATCTGGGTAACGATAACAGGAAATTAATAATTCAATACTATTGATATGGGCTACGGTAATTTTCTAATTATACATTCTTGGTTAAATAATGCTAGCCTGGCTATTAATGGTGCCAGATTTGTGCCAGAGATTAGTTTTATAACTTGTAAACTAGTATTCGTTCGCGAATGCGTCGGCGTGGAATTAAAAAAAGCAAAAGTAAGAAGGCTATGTGTTCTTCCAGACTATCCTCTACATTCATACCAAATTTCATTGAAATCGGTTCAGCCATTTAGGCTACAAACTCTAACAAACATCCATCCATCCATTCATCCATCTTAACTTTCGCATTTATACTATTAGTATGTTTACAATTTAACTTGGTTCAATAAAATATTTTTTTGATACGTGTAATTTGGTTAGTTTTAAAAATTCTTGTCTAGAATTTGTTTAAAGTCAATTATATGCATTGGTTATTTCTTGATATACTAATATTTCAACTTCATCATCTTCCTCCTTATCCTAGTCCCGTAAGGTCGGCGCACCAGGTTTTTCTCCTCTACAGAACTCTATCATACATCATCTCAGACATCACTCCCTTCTTGATCATGTCACCTTTAACGCGGTCTATTTATCTCTTTCTAGGTAATATAATCGGCAAATGTGAATTATGGAGTAAAGAATTTAATAAAACAAAACTCAACAATAGCAATGGCTCGGATGCAACTGGAGCCAAATTCAATATCATGCTAATTTGTTTCTCATCTTTTCAAACTGTCATGTACAAAATATACGTCATATTTCATTCGAAGTTAAACTTTTAATTAAAATACATTTTGAAACATGGAATAAAACAATTTCAGCAAAAGTATCAATTTATTATTCACAATTCAAGAATAACATATTTCTTCTAATTTCAATCGCACTGTTAAACATTTAATTATCTTATTAATGAAAACAAAATTTATTTACAAGTGTTTATAATAAATTAAGCTGGTAATTTTGAAAGTGAAACAAAAAAGCATAAGACTTGAAGAATACATTTCTATTCTAGCCTAATTAACTACTACCATCTTAATCTAATACAGTCTTTATTTTTACATTTAATTGTTCAATGACTGTATGAAAAGTTTAAATTTACTAAAAGAAGCTAACGGTACTATGTACCACGATGTTAAATGTAACAACACGCCAAGGTTACATCGATTCATTCTAGTTTTTCACCCTTCAGCAAATTGTTCAATCAAGTTGTTCTCGACGATATTTAAAATAGGAAACAAACATTTTAGGAAGTGACATAAAAATTAAAAGAAAATGCGACAAAAATAATAAGAAGTAACCACAAAATATTCATACACTTAAAAATAATAGCAATTCACTTTCATTTTACATCTTATTTTAAAAACCTAAAGTAATCAAATAGGTTTTAAGGAGTTCTTGCTTAAAAATTGTTACATACAAGCTCATATATACAATAATTTAAATAAATGTAACTAAAAATAGTGCTGGACACTATTTTACTATAGAAAGATATTTAAAACTGTCAACAATAAATATATCGAAACAGTAACCTTTTTGTTTGCAGTTGATTTATAATACTTAACTTCGTCTTGAGTCGGGGGAGAGAAGGACGCTTCAAAACTCAACCGACTCGGGCAAGGTAACGCCTCGCCAGGTATTTCTATCAATTTCCTACGATATTCTATTTTGTTACCATTCAATTCGTTTTCTTGGTCTTGCATTGTATCCTCGTAAACATTATCGTCTTCCATATTTCCATCAGTTTCTTCATAACTCTTATCAATGTTATTTTTTAAAGACATCGTATTACTTTTGTAATTGTTACTTTTACTGCCAGTACTGCCGTTTGATTTTGGTTTTATATCACTGATGCAACTGAGTCTAGTAAGCGCGATTTTGACTCGCTTACTTCGAGTTTCGTTCCTCAGTTTTTGAAGCCAGGCTAGACTGCAATCGCATGTTAGCTTGTTACCTGTTGATTAAAAGACTATTAGTTTACAAATAGCATGCTTGTTAATTTTAAACCGTGCATGGTGCATCTTCAATTTCAATTTTGCATGAAATTCAGTCTACAAGTTCTGTGTTAAAAACCTCTCGTCGAAAGAGTAAATTTAAAATATCTGTAAATTAAGTTGTCTATAAAATATGAAGATTTAACTGTATAATTGGATACCCATTTAAAGGGAAAAGTCTGTTTTAGACGTTAGAATAAATATAACCTGCTGCAAATAATGCCACTCAAAGCGCAAACAATTGGTTGCTAGCGTTGTTTCGGTCTGAAGAGGGATTTCGGTTAATAACTCCGTCCGATCTACGTTGTTTTGGGTTTTAGGAGGTATTCAGCACTTAAGATCTAATATAAATTTATGAAAAAGAGAACAATTTTATTCAACTTACCATTTAAAGCTATCAAAGCATAATTCGATTTAAAATTGTCCATTAAATTTAACAAAGTTTCTTCTTTAAAGTATTCCAAATAATTATTTCTTAGGTCCAAAACATACAACTTTTGAATATCGTTGAATACGTTACCATCTAAACTTGCCAACTTATTATCAGCGATAGAAAGTTTTCGCAATTGGGTCAATCCTCCGAAACCTCTCTCAGAAATAAATTCTATTTCATTGCTGTCAAGATATAACTCCTGGAGACTCCAAAGTTCTGTAAACGCTAAGTCGCCGATCATCATTAATTTGTTATTTCTCATATCTAAATTCATTAAATTCGAAGGTCCCTCAAAGTTTTCTCTAACTACGACAGCCAACAGGTTGCTACTAAGATCAAGTTTTATAAGATTATTCAAATGCTTGAAACAACCTTCGTGTATAACTTCTATCTTATTTTTCGCTACATGTAATCTTTGGAGATTCGGGAGGTCGTAAAATGTATCCCTTTGCAGTTCACTTATTTGATTCTCTGTCAAGCTTACATTAGAGAGCATAATGAGATGTGCAAAGGACATTCTTTCTAGTTTAAAGATTTTATTCTTTGGTAACATAATATCTCGGAGCGAAGTCGAGTTCGTGAAAGCGAAGGATGGTATATTTGGAATATTTGCGTATTGTATGTTTAGATTTTGTAACCTCTCCAATCTAACAATGATCTTAGCTGGAATGTAGGTTAAACCACCGTCTGCTCTTACGTTGAAACTTAACTTCTCAATCATTGGTTGTGAGTAAAAGTTTGACCAGAATGGATCATCTTCTGCGATACCTCCGTTGAAAACCCAACAATCTGCTTTAGTAGCTGTCTTTAATTTAATGTTTTCACAGTAGCAATGTACTTTTGATACTCTGTCTTGTATATCACAAATATTAACGTAATGTGAATATAAACTTTTATCCGTTTTCCATCTTCTTTTATCGCTTTGTCGACTCTCTGTTAGATTAATTTCTATACTAGCAAATGCTATAATTATAACCAAATATTTAAACGCCATGATGTTTCCATACGGTGAAGGACTCTGTAACAAAAACACAATATCCTTGATAAATTCTATTGTTTTTAATAACAGAAAATATATTTTATAAAGTTGGAACAGTATGACTTTTGGTATGCTCAAAGCACTTTATGTATGTTCGAGTATTTATTCATTTCACCAAACAGGTAAACATAAAAAAAAAATCATATATGCTTAAATACTATCGACATCAAGTAAATATTCGACGTAACAGTGAATTTACAACAAAAAATTGCAAGATATTTTCGACTGCAAGAATCCAATTCGAATATTCATCGGTGCAATGCAGCGGGTATTCAAATCAAATGCATGGTTGTTCAACCATTTACCTACATCGGCATGAATAACATATGATGGAGTACTTCTAAATATGTTGAACTATATTCTAATTTTTATGTCTATTATTCTAAAAATGCTTATGAAAAGCTTCGAAAAGTAAATTAAATTGCTCAAATTAATATCAGAAGCACACAAATAAAATTTATAAAATTTTCGATAAGTACACGAAACTTGGAGTAAACACTGTCGGAATATGTAAAGAATTTTCTATTTCTGAATTGATAAAAACACGTGTTACCTATTTTAACTGGCGATTGTATTAGAGCTTACTCGAAACTAACTTACAACATCAAAATGGCGAACCAACAACTCTTAGATAAGTGTAAATATAATAGTTGTCCGTATTCGGTGCTGTATTACTCTACTCTGTTGCGGTTTAGGTTAAACTTCCCAGTTCAGTGTATCAGATGTTGTACAAACTAAAAACTGTTGAACGTTCACTTCGAAAGTCTCAATAACCGTGTCTTCGCTCTTGAACACATACAAAAACATATTCTATTCCTCTTGTTCTTGTTAAAGAAACTGGGACAACAGTAATAATTTAATGCAAACATTTAGGTAGTCTAATTTTACAGAAACTTTTTTTTAAATCAACCGAGCAATATCTTATTTTTCCGGCATAACAGTGTTCTTTAAAATGTAGAAAATACATACGTTTAAAAAGTTTTATAAGTATGAAAATAAAAATATGTAAAAACTGTGTTGTATGTATGTTATGTAAAAACAAAAGGATAAGAACCCGTTTAAAACAGTGTAGCATTATTAAATATAGTATGGGGTAATAAACCCAAAAATATACTTAAGCAAAGTTTAGTTAGTTACTTGTTTTAACTTCTCGACCACCGCTGATTGATATTATGACGTCAACATTGTTATGTTACACCAAATATATCACCACACTGCTTTTGGAATAAGTACCTTATTTTTTATTGATCAAGATCGAATTTTGCAAGCCTTTGCGTTACAACTATTTGCAAATAATCCGCTCCAGAGTATAAAAGCGTTGACGTAAATCTAAGTTAAAATACATATACAAAACATTGTCAATATGGTAAAGCTCTTAAAATCCTTATAAGAAATTAACGTTAAAAATTAATTGGTGTAGCTCTTTGTTAGAATTACATAATTCTTTTCGCCTGCATCCGGTCGCTCCAATTGAACTTGTTAAAGTTTTAATGGACTCATCTTGATGACAACCATATCAAAATTAAAACTGATGATTCACAAAGGGGTCAACTACACAATACTTTTTTGTATAGTAAGGAGACATTCTGAAACACCTAGAGACAAGAAAAAACATTTAAATCAAGATTTATTAATAAATCCATCAAATTCTTACATTACATCAAATATCAAATTTATTTTGTCCGCTTTGGTCAGTCTTGCATAAAACCATTCTACACAACGTTTTAATGGCATTTGAAAAGCCATTAGTGTTAACGCCAAGATTTGAAACAGGAACAGTTTTAACATTTTCAGCGCCCTGGGCGAGATATCCTTAGCGCAAGGAGCACTGCAATAGAAATTCATACGAAAAAATTGTATAGAGATGCCCATAGGCCATGAGCAATCACCGCACTTCGCCCTTCCCTAATCCCTGTATTTATTTAAAGGTATATCTTTTAACAACTCCAATCACGATGCTATCATAGTTCCGACAGCTTTTTAATAATCAATTTCATAAATTAATTTGCATTCAATATTTGTTAATACATTTAAGCACTTATACACTGATAACATCAAATATAAAATAATTTATTGAAAGCACCAATACTGTTAAGTGTCAGATAATTAATTAAATTTATGTTTTATGAAGGGGCGTATATTACGTCAAGATGGACAGTGAACTCTAGTCCCTAGTGACCACATATAGTATTTAACAGGAAGCAACATAAAACACTAGTTTATTAAAATATAAGTTTAATGAACTTCGAGCTTTCGGGGTTCATGTGCTTTATGACTGGCGACTACGAAAGCTGTCGCTTGACAGATTTATGTGATCCACTATAATTAACATTGCGTGGGGTTTAACGCAATGTATATTGTTAATGACTAAATTTGTCACGTAAAAATTTTGACATTTATCGTGCAAATAGTAAAGAATTATAAAGCCTATTTTGTAATGTGATTTTAAGGTGGTTTTATTTTGTTTACGCACGATATTGTAAGGTACCAAACGATATATATTACTTATATTATTTTTTGTTATGTTTTTATGCAAAATAGTTATTTTTTTCTTTGCTTACAGAATACTTGAAATGAATATTGTATTAAATACGACTTTTATATGATATGTTACAGCGGAATACCACTAAAAATAAACATTTAGTGCAGTTTATTTTTGTCTCTTTGCTGTCATATACGTGCGATGCAATAAAAAATGTGTAAGCCTAAAAGCGAATTTTATTTGTACCCGACTGACGGAATGATAATATTTTTCGCGAGAAACTATATAAAATGGCAATGTATCCACGTGTTATGTGTATACCAATATTTAGTTAAGCGATTGGGGTAGTTTAGATCGAGTTTTTATTTGAATTGTGTCTCAGGAGTATTATGAACAAGCATTATTCCTATTACTGTATTGATTAATTTGATGCTTTGATCTCACATAGAGTGACAAGGGAATGGGAAATGATGATACTTTGTACAGTCGGGAAATCTGACGGTGTGTACAGTTTGAAAGTTTTATTCGCGTTGAGACGACTTGGAACAATATTAAATAGGATGGTGCTTTTGGATCACAAAAGACCATTAAGTAGACATGAATTGCTTTTTATTATAATCCCCTAGCGGAACTCACTGCTACCTAAATGTGTAGTTGTAAGACAAAGCAGAGTTGGTCTAGTTGCAAGGAACAAGGTAATTTTCTGTAAGTGGCACACTGCGGTTTTCCGTGACTGTACCTGTGATAAGAATATCGTAAAGGGGTATTAGATTTGAATTTAATAATTCCAACAATAACTTTTTACAAACTTTTCTTTTATAAATAAATCTGACCGTTAGACATAGAACTATGGAACGGAATGAAATGACAAAGAAAACATTTAAACTCGTCCGCGATGTCGGAGTTATTCTTATGTAAATATTTAAGGAAGTGGAATCAGAAACTGCCAGACATTTGTATTGTACATTTTTCAAAAAGATATTAATTTTAGCGGTCGTATTTTAGCGTCGCTCTGACAGACGTAATGCAACAAACTTCGGTTCCAGTAAGGTTAAAATAAAAACTGTAGAAAAGTGGAAAGTGTGGAACTTGAATGCAGAAATAGGATAATTTTATATAATACATAAAACAACTAAAGAGAACAAAAACTTATAAGTACTGGGTACAGATACTTTAGATTGTTACATTCATAGTAAGAATATGATACTAATACCACCTTATTATTTTGAATTTGTGATTTTTTTGTCTACATTTCATCTCTTTAATATAATAATAAGGTTTCTGAAGTTACCACTTGTTTTGTGCTTAGCGACTCATTAATTCTAGGCCGACCTATGTTTCAGCGGAGTAAAACACATGATACGTAGTTCGGTGCATTTCATGAATATATAAAACCAAGAACACTAAACTAGTTAAATGTACCTGGGAAACCGGCCATCAATCTAGTAAAAACAGTAAAAAGGTTATTACGAAAGCAATAGACTTAAGCCATTGTGAACCTCCATATAAAATCTAAACTAAATTGATTTTAAAAAGACAGTAATATGGTAAAATTGGAGTGTCTATATATTTGCGTTTAAAATATATTTGACTGTATGTTTGTAACGGACAGCGGTAACCTCCGAAACGACTGGGCCGATTTGGATTGGACTTAATTGAAGGGTAACTGACATAGACGGGCATATTATAGGCTACTTTTTTTGTTAATATTGCGTAGACAAAGTCGAGGACAATAACCAGTAGAAAATAAATTCAATCGCAAAATTATAAAGTTACGATAGTAAGCGTATTAACGGTTGATTAAATAAACCGCATCGGATTCTGTTTTCGCATTAATTCCAGTGTAAAAACTCATCGCTGGATTCTCACAATAGCTTCATTAGTGCGGGGTTTCGATATTTTATAGGAATTGTATCGCTTTAAACGCTATTTCAACTAATTAATCGAATAATAACGTTACAGAGAAATATGGAAAATATAATCCACGCCCGTTGCTCTCTAAATGGTTATTATTTCCGGATATTTCGAAGAGGTATGCTACAATCTGCATTTGCTATAATTGATTATGTTTCATCCTGCAGTTTTTGCCACTGTTTCAACTGGCTAGTCGTTTAAAATGCTCATTTTTTTAAATTGGTAATTTCATTGTTAATGACCCTGCTATAAACGTATGATAATTGTTTTTTATGTTGAAAACTTTATGATGTGGCCTGCCTAGTTATTAAGTTAATAAGGGACTATTAGCTTTAGCGATTGTTGAAAAATTGTAGGAATTTTTCAATAATACTGCAATAAATTAAAATTTTTAAAGCGACTAATAAATTTACACCAAGCATATATGTTAAATTAATCTATTGAAATGTAATTAACGTAATGTAATGTAACTAATGAAATTTAATTAACGTAATGTAATGTAACTAATGAAATGTAATGTAATGTAACGTTTTCAACAGTGGAAATTAACGATAAGGAAACCAAATTTCAGTTTTAATATGCT